ACAGCAGGTTCATCCATAATAGCAAAAAACGAGATAACCCAGATGTCCTTCAATGCATGAATGGTATACTACACAGCAGTAAGGAAAGAACTATTGATGCATGCCATAATTTGGATAGTTCTTAGGGGATTATGCTAAGAGAAAAGCCAATCTCAGAAGGTTGTATATTGTGTGGTTCCATTCTTGAAATGACAAAATTAGAGAGATGGAGAAGAGATTAGTGGTTGCCAGAGGTTAGGGAGCCCCCCCTGGAACTTGGTGGGTAGGGTTATAAAGGCCAATATAAGGGTTCCTTGTGATCATGGAACTGGTGAAGGCAACACTAACCAACATATGTGATAAAAATTGCATAGAACTAAATATACACACAGATAAATGAACAGAAGTAAAAACAGGAAATCTGAACGGGATCAGTGGATTATACTAATCCTGGTTGTGATATTGTACGATAGTTGTGAAAGATGCTACCATTGGAGAAAACTAGTCAAAGGGTACACAAGATCTCTCTGTATTATTTCTTACAACTGCATGTGAATCTATAATTTCTCAAAATTAACAATTCAATTAAAAATATAATAATTTCAGGGGCGCCTGGGTGGCTCAGTCGATTAAGCAACTGACTCTTGATTTCAGCTCAGGTCATGATCTCAGGGTTGCAAGATCAGGACTGTGAGATCATCAGGTTGTGATCAAGCCATGGTGGGCTCCATGCTCAGCAGGGAGTCTGCTTGACCCTCTCCCTCTGTTCTTCCCCCTGCTTGCACTCTATCTCTAAAATAAAAAAATAAAATCTTTTAAAAAATATACAATAATTACAGCTATAGATATCAGCCTTCTGATCCCAAGTGTTAATATGCATAGGATTTCATTAATATCAACTAAATATATATGTAAACGTATTGGGACTTTGATTTTAAAAATTCCTAGACAGAAAACTGAGCAGAATGGTATTTTAAAATGTTAAAAAATATTTTCTTAAAAAATATTCCTAAGTAATAACTAGGTAGAAATTTTAAGCACATGATCTATTTATTCATTAGAAGGCATTCTACCATCACCCAATTTCAAAATTATTAAAAAACAAATTGCTAGTAATTTAATCCTTCTTTTATGCAGATAACAATAATAAAAAAGATGCCACTATCTCTTTTACGAGATTTTCTTTAAATAACCCATATATTGAAAATTCAGAAAAATAATTACTTCCATGGTCAATGTTACAATGAAAAAATGCTTTCCTTTATATGAAAAGCTACTACAGTTTGCCAATCGGCTAGGAAAATCAAAATTGGGCTTTGGCTTAAGGCAACAGTAGGTTCAAATCTGATCATAGCCCAACTGGTCACTTAACGTATATTGCCCCATTAATGAAGATGCTGTGATTCTAAAGGCAGAAATAAATAATAAATAAATAAACAAGTAAATAAATAAATAAGTAGTACTATATCCAACTAAAAAGCTTCTGCACAGCTGAATAAATCATCAACAAAATAAAACCTATGGAATAGAAAAAATAATGTTCACAAACCATACATCTGATAAGGAATTAATACCCAAAACATATAAAGAACTCATACAACTCAAAACAAAAAACCACAAATAATCCAAATGGGCACAGGAGCTAAATAGACCTTATCCCAAAGAAGATATATGAAAGGCCAACAAGGTACATGAAAAGATGCTCAACATCACCACTCATTAGGAAGATGCAAATTAAAACTACAACGAGATATCACCTCACACCTGTTAAAGAGTCACCATCATCAAAAAGAGACAACAAATGCTGGAAAGATGTGGAGAAAAGGGAATCCATGTGCACCATTGGTGGCAATGTAAATTCCTGCAGCCACTATGGAAAGCAATATGGAGGAGCCTTAAAAAATTAATAGAACTACCATATGATACGGCAATTCCACTTCTGAGGTTATATCCAAAAGAATCAAAACGCTAACCTGAAAACACATCTGCACCCCCATGTTCCTAACAGCATTATTTATAATAACCAAGACATGGAAGCGACCTAAGTGGATAAAAAAGGTGTGGTATGTATAAATGATGGAATATTATTCAGCCATAAAAAATGAGGAAATCATTCCATTTGTAACAACATGGATGGACCTTGAGGACATTATGCTAAGTTAAATTAGTCAGAAAAAGACAAATACTGTATGATCTCACTTATATGTGGGAATCTAAATAAACAAAAAACAAACCCAAACTCATAGCAAAAGAGATCAAACTTGTGGTTATCAAAGGCAGAGGGTGGGGTGGTGGCGGAACTGGAGGAAGGTGGCCAAGAGGTACAGACTTCCAGCTATAAGTTAAATAAGGTACAACACGATGACTATTGCTGACCCAGCTGTAGGATACACAGGAAAGCTGCTAAGAGAGTAAATCCTAAGAGTTTTCACAAGAAAAAAAATTTTTCCCCTTTTTCTTCTTTCATTGCTTTTTATTATGTCTATAGGAGAAGATATATGTTAGCTGAACCTACTGTGGTAATCATTTCACAATAAATGTAAATCAAACCATCATGCTGTATGCCTTAAACTGATACAGTGATGTGTATCAATTATTTCTCAATAAAATCAGGGGGGAAAATGTTGGGATCTTTAAGTGTTCAATCTTCCATGTCCTCTCTCTTCTTAGAGCAATTTCATGGACTCTCTGTGTCTTCAATTACTATCTCCATGTTGTTTTCTTCTACCTCTCAGTTTATGGTGACTGTATCTCCTAGGCACCCAAGCTAGAAATCTGGACATCCTTCTGGACCCTTCCTCAGCCCATTTCTCTCCACCCTCACTGGTACTACTGCAGTACACCACTTCTACCCCAGACAACCAACAGATTTCTTGCTAAATGGTTGTTTCTTAGCCCACCCTACACCCACTTTCTTCTGAAAAACCTCTTCACTCTCTTTAGGATAAAGTCCAACCCCCTGGACACAGCTTAGCAAGTCCTTCAAGACCTGCTTCTTGGAATTCCCTCATCAATCTGCCCCACAAACTAAGCTACAGGCTTTCTCTAAAGTCCTCAGAAACTGTGCACTTTAAGGGTTCCAAAGCTTTGCTTGGCATTCTTTCTAAGCCACATTCAACCTTCTCCCTCCCACTCTCAACCTTTAATTTGAAAACCTGCAGTCCCAGGGAAGCCTTTTACATATCCAACTCAGGATTAGGGGGCCCCGCCAAGTGCTCCTTCAGCCTATACTACAGTATTTATCTCACAGCATTGTCTATAATTATTTTCTAGTTTGGTTTCCCCACACTTTGACTATGAGCTTCCCTGGGCAGGACTGAGTTGTTTGCTTAAATAGGTCAATAGGTAGCTCATGAGGAAAGCACCAAAACATGTATTCTTGAATGAGTGATAGTGTAAAAGAAAACATCAGGGGGCAAATTGAAAGTGTCTGCAGTGACCCCCATCTGCCACACAACATCTTAACATATCTCATTACATAAAAGCAATTGATACATCAAATTACTTCCTTTACATAATAGAGTAGGCCATTCCATGTGGACATTGGTGGTAGCCAAATGTCTGGTGTATTGGATGACTCAGTTTAAAATAATGGCAGCGCTTTTTGGATTACTATAATAGCCTTCCACATTTGCAGTAACCCTGCTCCAGCTAGTCTTTTCCATTGAGTAGCCGGCCAGTGATCTTTTCAAAACATAAATACGATATTGTAACTTCTCTACTACCATGGCTTACAAGGTCCTGCAAAGGTCTGCGACCTGTCCCAACATCCCCAATCTTAATACCAATCATTCTCCCTCTTACTCACTCTGCTTGATACGCTGGTCTCCTTTCTTGCAGTTTCTGTTAAACAGCAAAGGTCATTCCAGCACCAGAGGCTTTGCACTTGTTGATTCTACCAGCTTGCAAAATTCTTCCCTCCTTCTCCCCTCCCCCCATACCCCAGATCTCGCCTTGGTTGGTTCCTCCTCATTCACATCGCTGCTCAAATGTCACTTCCTCAGAGAACTTTCCTGACTACCTATCTAAAACAGCCAACACGTCCTAGTCAAGCTCGATCCTCTTATTCTCCTTGACTTTCTTTATATAACCTAACCCTACGTGATAATTTTATCTGTCTCCCCTGTTAAAGCGAAAGCTTCACGAGGACAAGTGATTGCATCTACCTTGTTCACTGTTGTCTCCCTAACGGCTAGAACAGTGCCCGGCCAATAAACACTTGCTAAATGAATACACGCACTCAATAAGCTTGTCCATCTCGCGTATTTTCCATTCTCCTTTCCCCCTCATTGTCAGAAATCCGTGAGGGTCGCTGTCCTTGCAGGGAAGCTCTTGAAGCGTAACCGCCATCCCAAAAAGAGTCCTCTTTTCCTCACCGGGAGAGGCAAGCCCAGCCTGGTAGCAGCTAATGGGGCCTCAGGGACCGAAAGATGAGCCACGGACCCGGCACCCTCGTCTTAAGAGCGCCGAGAAGCTGCGGCACTTGGCGTCCCTTTCCTCGCTTCCTGGGGACTGCCGCCTCCCCAACCTTAGACCCCTGAACTAGCCTCTCAGCCGGCCGCACACACGCCTTCCCCGCCGCCGAGCTCCGCTGCCACTCCTAGTTACCTGCCGGAGATCCGCCTTGGGAGACTCAGCCTTCTCGCCGCCATTCGAAAGAACAGGAGCACCTTCCGGGCCACCGTAGTTCGCGGAAAGCACACGCTGATCTCTCCTTCCGCATGCGCAGAGATCCCGTTCAGCGCACAGTGTCTCTTAGCAACCGCATTGAGTCCCTCCGCCAGGGGCGGAGCATCGGAAGCCACAGGGGGGAAGCCGAGGGGGAAGTGAGTGAGACCAATCGGAGACGAGTCCCAACCTCGACCGGCACGCCTCCTCTAACTGTCGCGAATGCGCAGACAGCTTTACGGCAGGCGAGGGGTGGGGGCTGCTGGGGGTAAGGAGGAGAGAAGGAAGCAACCAACCAACCAAGTCGCCCCCACCCCCCACCCCCACCCACCCCGGACCTGGTTTACGGCTCCGGGCTCAGGCTCCGATGCGGCCGCTGATTGGCTGCTGAAGGCTTGGTCCCATCCCAGTGACCCCAAAGTGCTGGAGGGAGGGGGCGGGGGTGGCCCAGTGCAAAGTGCATCCCGAAAACCCCCTGCCTGGAGCCCCCGCGGCTGGCACTTCGGACCCTGTATGACCCGGGACCTCGCTGCCCCGAGACCTGCTGTGTGCCCCCGTAGCCGGGAGCCTCCGGCCCGGAGCGCGGCAGCCCCTGCTCCGAGCCCTCAGACCAGGGCTGCCCCCCCACTCGAGCCGGGACTTCCTCCCTGCACCCCTGCCCCGAGGCTGCCCGGCGGTCAGGACCGTCGCCCCAGTTCTGCTCGACTGTCCGGATGCTCGCTGGGCTGGGGCCGTGAGGCACCGAGAAGGCTCAGGAACACCCGTGTCCGGCCCTGCCTGGAGTGTTTGTTCAATGGAGAAGTTGGTGAGTGTGGAGAAGGCTGAAAGGAGGAAGAGAAGCAGCAGCTGAGGAGACAGGTAAAGTCAGTTACCTCCCCCGAGGGGAAGGGGGCTGGCTGGGAGAGAGAATCACTGCTTCTTCCTGTCTGCCCTTACCACTCTTCCTTTGCTACCCCTTCCTCAGAGCCCCCTCCTCCTAGCCCCTGGGTCACTGCACCACTCACTGGTTTCTGCTTTCCAGGTTTGAGCTGGCTAGAGGAGACGAGAGAGCAGGGAGGGGTCAAGCCACCCACCAGAGAAGCAGCAGAGAGCCTCTGACCAGCATCCTCTATAAAGGTAATGAGCCAGACCTCCCCTCCCCCATTGTTTATTCCTGGCCCCTATCTCATTAAGCATTACTTTATTTTCAGCGTAGTTACCTGGAAATGTAACTCTTTCCTGGTACCCAGTTTCCCAGCAAAACCAAACACTGCCTGTGCCTGATCCTTAAGATATTAATTAATAACTTCTTTATCTCAGAAATGTATTTTCCCCTTTCTCTCTACGTTGTGGTTCCGTTTTCTGCATTATCTTTCCGTACACTGTACCATTTACCCTGCTCTGAGACTTTGAGACCTTTTAGTAGCTCCCCCCCTTTACTCTCATAGGAATTCCTCAATTCCTTGTTAATTGCTTGTTAATTCTGAATGACTCTGTTTTTTAATTAAACCACAATTTTCTGTTTTCCCCTTATGTCTTCCTATCACCTTTCCTCTATCTCTATCAGAAAATCTTTTGAGTTAACTGACGAGGGTTTGGTAGAGGAAGGTACAGTAATAGCTGAAATTTGTGAGTTTTGGAGAATAATGTGACTTCGTTCTAGTGAAAAGTGAATCTGTGTAGCTGGATAGTGTGGATAGTTTGAAAGCAGTATTTGCCCCTGACGCACGTGAATATAATTAACTCATGTGGCTCTTATGTGTTATTGTGTGACAGATGTGGCTGGATTTTGAAACTGTTATAAAGATAAGTTATATTTGTTACACCTTTGATTTTCTAGAAGAACTTATAAAACTTTATACAATATTACATTAATCATTTGGCACTAAGAGTTTGCAAACACAGGAATGTTTTGGTGTGTTTAGAATCTAGGGTTTTATTTTTGCACTCTTCATAGATAAGACTTTTCATTTCAAAACCCTTACAGATAATTTGTTAGATTGAAATTTAAGTATTTCCTTCATATCACATTTCTGCCGCTGTATTTTGTTGCCGCCTCTGAAAATGCACTAAAGGTAAGTTTAGAACACTCATGTAGTTCCTAAAGAGGGAATATGATCACGGAAATTATATAAGAGTTAATTCAGAAGTTAGTCAAGTGAATGACTTCTCTGCTATCCAGTAATAGGGGTATAAAGTGACTGGGTAATCTCAGAGTTATTTTAATATCTCAGATTGTTTAGGGAATTTCAGGTACAAAGAAGTACTTAAAATAGCAGAATTTGTTAGGAAATTTTTGATTTACTCTGTTCCACTGGACTTTCTGCCTTCTACAAAAATAAATTAATGCCTTTCCTGATTCTTTTAATTGCGAAGACATTGCTAAAGATACTTTTAAGTGCTTTGAGGGTTTGCGTTTTCTTGAGACCTGGAACTGGACACCAAAGGGAGAGTGTATGCTACTGAATGAGACTGAAAATCAGTATCTAGCAGTGACTGTTCCCATGGTGAATATTTAGGGCAGCCTTTATATAGGGTCCACTTCATTTCAGTAAAAGCTAGGCAGAAGTCTATCAAGTTAAAGGCAGTTTTCTTTATTTAAATATGCAAATCACCAGAGAGATGCCTAATGATGACTTTCGGAATTTTTTTTTAAATGCTAACATATTTGAAGTACGTTTTTAAGGTAAAAATGAATTATGTGTTTTCTATTCAGGCCTTCTCACTTAAATATTTTTTCTACTTTAGATATAATTCTAGCGTGTTTTCATTTGCAAGGGGTGTTATCACCTGAGATGGTAAGAGAGCAGGTCTCTGGCAAGTCAAGCGTGGAAGATACAGGAAGGACCCTGCTTTCTCCTGGTTGCCAGCCAGATCATTCTCATTGCTTAAATAATATTTCATTGATCCCCTCTCTGCTTTTAACAGTTCTTCTAGGATTAGGGAATATATATATGTATATACTTGTTGGCATCGGTTCCAGATATTAGCGTGACTGAGAGTGTTTGGTCTAGGTTATGCTGAACATTTAAAATGTTTAATTTGGGTAATTATTTACTAACATGGACAGTTAGATAGTTTATATTTTTCAACCCGGTAGTTAACTTTGTGTTAATTCTCTTGCCAGGTACATGGGTTTTTACAGAAAAAAAAAAAAAAAAAGGTAAAGATCCTGATTTATTTGATAACCAAACATAGATTTGTAGTCACATAGGGAGAATAACTGATTTTAACTGAAGATCTTCAGTGATCCCTTTTGAGGATGCTGTGGCTTCATACTTTTGTTTTTATACCTGAAGTGATACCATTCACAGTTGCTTAATATTATGCTATATATAATATCTATTTTTTTCACATTTAACTTTGGTAACATAGAAATTCATATGATTTGTAAAAAGTCTAAAGTCAGATAAAGTTTATATAAGCATACCTAATATCTGACTTAACAGCCTTTCATTTCATTCCCAACTGAAGACGCTCCCTAAGTGGAGAAAGATTGTCTCCTTTCTTGCAGACTTACTCAGTACTGACTTGAGGCTGCTAAGGTGATCATGCCAGACATGAGTTACTAAGATAACATTGACAAGACCTCCTTCTTTACAGTACTTGTGACTTAAGCCTTGAGTTGAGCCTGGATTAAGTGAGTTATACAATGTCCTCTCTTGCCTCCTCCACAGTCCATGAAAATGGTTGGTTTTTCTGCTAGAAAGGATGAGAATTGTAGATAAGTCGTGCATGATAATACATCCTTGTGTTACACGGAGACCCAGCAATTTGGAGGAAATATGAATGCCCTTACTTGTTCTAGAACATAAACACCATGCTAACTATGTGGAGTGATACTAAAAAACACTTCTACTTTACTTTCCAGGCTCTTGATCATACAAATAGTGCTGGTCAGTGTAGACCTCAGCCGTGTGGCACTCTTTGGGCCTTGTGTTCCTGCAGCCATCTAGGACCCTTGAGCCAGTGGTATTTTTTTTTTTTTTCCTCAGAGCCACTATCCTTGGAGTTGCTGATTTAATTTTCATACCAGCCTGTATCTCTGTTTGCTCTACAAAGAAAGGCTTATTTCCTTTTTTGAGTAGCAAGCTGTTATCTTGTTTCTAGTTTGTGTGAAATCTGAAAGCACGGTTCTAATTTGTATCACTTAATCCAAAAATGTGTGGACTTTTAGTGAAAATAATATGCAGAAAGCCATTAGTGACTAATCATTTATTCCAAAGGAAACTGGGGACATGTGGCAGATCTGGTGAAAGTTTTATACAATTTTAGACAGGTCTTAAATATATTTTGTTTTATAGTTATTTTACGCTTCACTCTGTTCTATGAATATAGACTTCTTTTAATTATGTGAAGCAAGAAATTTGGTTTCAACTTAATGCAGTTCACTTGGCATCTTTATGGAATTCAGTGGTAACATTTTAATTCCTAAATTTATAGTTTCTAGTATGATCAACAGTGTAAAAGCTCAGAGTCCTGGATGGTTTTCTTTTGACACCATGTAGAATAGAAAAAGATGGATTCGTAAAATTTAAACACACTATTCAACACACTGTCCCATTATCAACACACATTCCCCAAACAATCCCAACACACATTCCCCAAAATGATATACATTGGGGAAGTGCCTCATTTTGATATGTAATTCTGAAGTCTTCCTTGTTTGTATGTTTTTTTCTCTTTTCTAACTGAAACCTGAAATGGAATTTCTAAGATTGCACCCTCCGAGTTTTAGTCATTATGAGTCATTAATTTTAAAACAACTCACATTTACATGTGTTTCTTTAGAAAATTGCCTCTGTGGCCATATTCTTTTATTTTATAGGTGACTTCCAGGAGCTCAGATTTTCGAACTTCCCCTTGAGGGGAAATAGACTTTTTTCCAATCTCATCTCTGGACTTCCTCTGTGATTCTCTTTTTTTTTTTTAAGGATTTTATTTATTTGACAGAAAGACAGGAAGAGAGGGAACACAAGCAGGGGGAGTGGGAGAGGGAGAAGCAGGCTTCCCACTGAGCAGGGAGTCCCATGCAGGGCTCGATCCCAGGGGGATCATGACCTGAGCCTAAGGCAGATGCTTAACAACTGAGCCACCCAGGTGCCCTCCTCTGTGATTTTTAATAGACACCTTTAGCACTGGATGGTGTATTTCCTTTTTCAGTTCAGTATTTTTAAAAAAATTTATTCACGTGTGGATAGCTAAATTCTGTTAAGTGCAAACTTGCATAACACCAAGATAAAATTTATTACTTGTCTCGTGCCTTGGACTATTATAATGGATAGTTTGGTAATAAGTCATTGCCCTTCATAACTTAAGGGATACAGCTGACAGGAATTATGTTTGCGTGGTACGTGTGTCTGTTTTTTCTGGGGAGGATTGAGGCATGTGAAGTGTGCTTTTTTGGTTTAAACCTATGGTTATTATTTATAGCGCTTAGTATTGTCAGAGAAGAGAAAAATGATCCTAATATTTCTAGGTGTATTTGATTTAAGTATGCAGAACTTTTTTTTTTAAGATTTTATTTGAGAGAAAGCAAGAGCGGAAGAGAGAGAACACAGGCGGAAAGAGGGGCAGAGGCAGAGGGAGAGGGAGATGCAGACTCCCTGCGGAGCAGGGAGCCTGACATGGGGCTCAATCCCGGGACCCCAGGATCATGACCTGAGCTGAAGGCAGACGCTTAACCGACTGAGCCACCCAGGCGCCCCGAGAACTTTCTATTAAAATTCTACCAAGAGGTAACACCAGTGGCCAAGGCTCAGCAGTGTGCCAAACACATGTCAGGCACTCAGTGGACTTTCATTTGTCTGACTGAAGGAGTCCATACAGCATTATCACAAGTTACTGTGGTGTGTGCACCTTTCTTGTTGAGAGAAATAGTCACTTCATCTTTTAACACAGGTTTTTCTTGATATTATTAATAAATTAATACCATTTCATAAATTCTCCTCCACCCCCACCTTGCATGTCCTCCTCCACACATACCCCCTCTGCCTCCATGGAAGTGACCGTGGGTAGATGGAAGACAGTAAGAACAAGGATTCTCGAAGGCCTGAAGCCATGCAGGGCCATCTCCACTTCTCTTGGGAGGCAGGGGTTACCAAGGACACCCTTGGAAATAAGGCATCCAGTGGTGTTGGTTTTTGAAATGTAGATGCAGCTCATGTAGAACATAATCACGAGTTCTTTTGTGGAAAATGCTGGAGGCTCATCATTGGAGACCTCAGTTTGCCTTTTTTAAACATTTTTTATCTTAGTATAGTTTTGGGTTTATAGAAAAATGTGCACAGATAGTACAAAATGTCCACATAGTCCACACCCAGTTTCTGGTAATATCTTCTATTAATAGATGCATTTGTCACAGTTAATGAACCAACAGCGAGCATTATAATTAATTAAAATCCAAATCATATTCAGATTTCCTTAGCTTTTACCTAATACCTTTTTTCTCTTCCAGGATCTCATCTAGGACACCACATTACATTTAGTCATCATCTTGTCTCCTTAAGCTCTTTTTGGCCGTGACAGTTTCTCAGACTTCCTTGTTTTTGATGGCCTTGACATTTTGAGGAGTACTGGTCAGGTATTTTGTAGAATGCCCCTCATTTGGAGTTTGGTATTTTCTCTCATGATTAGACTGAGGTTATGGGCTTTGGAGACAAAGATCACCAGGGTAGATTGCCATTCTCATCATATCATACGAATAACATGACTTGGCACTGCTGCTGTTAACTGTGATCACTGGGCTGAGACAGTATTTTCCAGGTTTCTCACCATAAAGTTGCTCTTTCCCTCCCTCTCCGTGCTGTCCTCATTGGAAGGAAGTCGCTATGCATGGCCCATACTAAAGGAGAGGTGAGTTATGCTCTACCTCCTTGAGGAGGGAGAATTACACAACTCTTTGGAATTATGCACAGGAGATTTTGTTTCTCCTCCCCTCCTTTATTCATTTATTCAACCAGTGATAGCAACATGGGCATATAGATACTCTATACTTTGGGTTAGAATCCAGTAGTACTTGAATTATCTTGTTCAAATTTTTCCATCTTGGCTACTGAGAGCTCTAGTTATTGGCTCCTGTGTTCTTCTGACATACCCCCATCAGTGCATTTTTCTTTGAGCACTTCCTTTTTGGCACAGTGAGATGCTCCAGGTTCATCTTGTATATTTCTTTCCTTGCCCCGCTCTCAGAATTGGGCATTTTTGTAAGGATAGTTCTGCATTTTTTGTAGCTTGCTTTGTAGGAGTTGTTCTGATCATGTCTCATTCATTTTTTTTAGAAATGATAGGCAGTTTTATTTTTTTTAATTTTTTAAAATTTTTTTATTGTTATGTTGATCACCATATATTACATCATTAGTTTTTGATGTAGCATTCCATGATTCATTGTTTGTGCATAACACCCGGTGCTCCACGCAGAACGTGCCCTCTTTAATACCCATCACCAGGCTGACCCATCCCCCACCCCCCTCCCCTCTAGAACCCTCAGTTTGTTTTTCAGAGTCAATGATAGGCAGTTTTAAGTCAGATATTATTTCCAGGTGCATCTTGGCCAACTCCTTGGCCTTCCTTGAAGAAGTTTGACAAGGGAAGAAAAGGTATGGAAAAAGGAAAGGGTCCAAGTGGACTCTCCTGATTTGGATGGGTTGGAAATTCTGGTGTGCACCCAGAAGCACCTGTGACTGCCACTCTTCCCGAAAGCACGTCAGGTTGCCAGGTGGCCCGACCTTTCCTGTTTAAGTGACACAGGGCTTAGCACACCCACCCCATGGGGAAGGGGTGGCAGTTTTCCCAGTGAGTAATTCCTAGAGTGATCCTAGTGTAGTGTGTGGAAGTCACTTAGCATGTGCTTTTAACATTAGTGGAATTCACAGATCTAGGATTTAATTTACATAGAGGAAGATCCTTTTTCTTAAAGTTGTAGAGAGAATTTTTTCAAAATTCATTTGGGGAAGCTGGCAAGAAATGTTGTTTTCATCTTTTACCTAGTTTGATGTATGCATAAAGGAATAACAATTTCAAAATGGTTAACATAATGCTTTTTGGGCATAGGAAGTACTAGCATTTAAAGACATAATCTCCTTTTAGTTGTCAGAGATTCCATTTTGGCCCTGGCCACCTACTGTATTGAATGAACACATGCTTTCATTTTTGTCCTGTTTAGAAAGAGCAAGTGCCTACGGTGTCAGTTAAAAAGTAATTCAGGTGAAGCAAGTCTGCTCTATTGTGAATAGACCAAAAAATGAAAGGAACCTGTGTTTGTATCAGATTCCAAATGTGTGATTTTTTTTTTATTATCTTTATTCTTTTTCAAAAAACTGTCCTTTTAGGGGAAAAAAAAATTTCTGAAAATAAACTGTATTCTATACCAGTGTGGATATTAGCGTAGGTACCATGATGATTTTCTCTAAGAATTGATCTGAGTTCTTTCTCTGCTCTGTAAGTTTATCATAAAGTGCTAAAATTTAAGCTCGTCAAAAGGTAGACTGTGCGGCAGCTCTGATTCTTTATTATTGTTAGGAATCTTCCCATAATTGGTATTTGTTTTTAGGTTAAAGCTCATTCACGCTGCAGTCTGGACACACTCTGAGCCTCCTCCTCACAATGCTGTATGTGCACAATGGTTATTAGGCAATCCACGTATCAGGAAAAGGGACATTCTTCCATAAGGTAAGTGACTGAGGGTCTTTGGTCGTCTGTGCAGTTCTCTTCCTTCAAATCAGCTAATGTATACTAAACACAATTCTTGCTAAGAGAAAATCCAGGTTGGCTTTGATATTGATTGGATCCTGCATAGTAGACCTCATTTAAGTGCCAAGATAATTGTCCCATTTAAAAAAAAAAAAATCTGAAGCTGATTGTTTTAAGCACATAGCAATAATTATTAATTTCTTCTAATGGTCAACCTCTTCTCTTATAACTCTAAAAATAAGCAAAAACCTATTCCAAAAGGATTCTCAGTTTTAAAATTTCTAAGATCAGAGACTTAATTTTATAGTGTTGATTGAAAAAGTAGTCAAGTGAAGAGATAAGGGAGAAATCATGTTTATTAAGAAAACAAATCGTCAGGAAACTTCTCAATTTAAATTATGTTACTTAATGGTAATATGTAAGAGTTTAACCATTTTCAATGTACAAAACAACATAAGATATTTGATTTTACTCCTAAGTTAGGACGATTTGACCTAGGTCAGGCTTAAGTTGACCTTTGTACAATCTATAACGAGAAGTTTTACAAGATAAATTATTATTGGTAACAAGATTATCCCAAGATGTCTAACCTACATAGGAGACCAAAATGTCTTTAAAGGACTTTATCACATAATTTTTTATTTTTAGAAATGGAAGCCTACTAATTAGGAGATGAGTCTAATCTATTCCTTAAAATTAGCCCAGATGGAATGGCTTCTTAGAAGCATGTTAGTTTAAGCTTCTGTAAGCTTCTGTAAAGCTTAAAAATGCATTGCAAAAGTTTTTGCATACACATGTGTAAGATGCCACTTTTCACCAATTCAATTTGGACTTTTCTTCTTCACAGGAAGGAGATCTCATTTTATATTGAGTCTGAGTGCACACCTCTTTTGTGACCTTTTAGAGAGTGTAGAAATTCCATATACTCCTTTTGCTTTAAAATGATTTTTTTCAGGGGCGCCTGGGTGGCTCAGTTGGTTAAGCGACTGCCTTCGGCTCAGGTCATGATCCTGGAGTCCCGGGATCGAGTCCCACATCGGGCTCCCTGCTCGGCAGGGAGTCTGCTTCTCCCTCTGACCCTCTTCCCTCTCGTACTCTCTATCTCTCATTCTCTCTCTTTCAAATAAATAAATAAAATCTTAAAAAAAAAATTTAAAATGATTTTTTTCATGTGGTGAATCAACAGTTTGTTTCAGTTCTTAACAGTGTTTAAATATTTTGTGTGATCTTGGTACTCTATGCTTATAGAGTCAAACTTCTGGAAAATTGAAATTAGAAAAGTGGAAAAGATGTGGCAGAAAAAGAGGGGTGGTTAATAACAAAGTAGGGAGGACAGAAAGAGAAAAAGAAATAAACAAAAGGAAAATACATGTTGTCTTTGCATTTTACTTTAATTGACCCCACCCACTTCCCCTTGCCCTCCCTCCCCAAACCTTTCATCCTTTGGGGCTAAAAATAAAATACTGTTGAAATACTTTTAGGGGACTCACCTAAAGTTTTTTACTTTTTTTTCTTTAACTGCTTCTCATAGTTAAAGGTCTGTAGTCTTCATAGTCTATGAATTGTCCGCTTGATAGTCCATATTCACTCACTAGTCTGTGAGAGAATCCTTGAAATGGTTTATAACTGTGTGCATTAGGGAACTCAAACTCATCCAATTCTTCCTCTGCTGTCTCCCATTTTCTAGCTGCCCATCATCATCTTCCATTATACCTGAAATAATGCTGCTATGTTCATGGGATCTTTGCTTTGAGTTTTCGAAAGACTACAAAAGAACTGATCTGTTTCAGCAATTTAGAGCTTTATGCCTGGCTTTTTGTTTGAAATCTTTTATAATCTTAGGGAAATTTGGTCATAACAGGTGCATGTTAATTAGTTGTAGTAGGGTGAACTGTCATTACTAAGATTTACATGATTTAATGATAGAAAATTCTGTACTATTTAACAGACACACCATGAGGTGCCACGTATTCTAAATTTCATGTATTCTGCTTCCCCTCAAAGGCTGTTCCCTGTGACCTAATGAATCCTTTGTAAAAAGTGGACTCAGCTAGGATGTTACACCACCATTGTCGAAGGAACCCTGAACTCCAGGAAGAATTGCAGATTCAGGCTGCAGTGGCCGCTGGGGATGTTCACACAGTACGGAAGATGCTAGAACAAGGCTATTCTCCCAATGGCCGGGATGCTAATGGCTGGACCCTGCTTCATTTCTCTGCAGCAAGAGGGAAGGAAAGATGTGTTCGGGTATTTCTAGAACATGGAGGTGAGTTTACCAGAAGCAAACCTTTTTTTGCCAAGGGGAAACTTAAATTCTATTTAGTTTAAAATGTATGTGCCCATGTATATGAAACATTTAATGCTTCTCGTTGGTTAACACCCAACTTCTTATTCTCTCTTTTGTGAAGATTTGTTGGAATTATGCTGAGTCTTGTTCAAAATCAGATTGTTTAAAAGAGCAGTCTGGTGAATGTGCTTTTTTCAAACCCCTGTCACTGTAGTTTAAATGCAGCCAGGTTTTCCCAGCAACCCTTCATGTTGTCCAGTTGCTTTTGTTTCAGAAGCAGAAGTGGTTTTGGGACCCACAATTAGAGAGTTACACAAGTTTCCCCTTTGGTAATTGCTCGTGCAAACAGAGACCTAGCACAGGTCCCTTTAAATATCATGGCCTTAATAGTAGCCTATCTTTTGAATTTACCTCTTTTAAAAAAAACTTTTGGATGGTTTCTTTTACTGCTGTTTTAGAGCTCTTGCCTTTTCCAGAATTGTACATAGTTTCTGAAGACAGGTTACCTGAGGTCTCATTTTGTATAAATACACGCAATTGGAAATGACCTTTGACATTTTATGCTTTTGCTTCGAAAAACTGCCCATTCCCATAGTTAGTTTCCATAATTAACAATAACTAATAATTGCCCTAAACTAGTTTACTTTTTTCCCAGTTGAATTTCTACTTACTTTCTTTTCCAGAAATGGGCTATATGTATTTTATCATTTGTACCCATTTGATCTTTGTAATGATGGCGTAAGCAGCATAGTTGAGACTCAAGTTCTACATGTGCCCTTCTGGGGCCTGAATTGCTCTTTGACAATCCGTTAGTTTCATTTTTAAGGTGTACTGTGTTACAAGACTAGTCAAACTTGTAAACCGCCTTGAAGTACAGAAAACTCTAGAAGCCCCAGGGCCCTGGTGAGGGCTGTGTGAATCACACGAAGCTAGGAATATGAAGGCTATGAGCAGAAACTAATTGCAGGGCACTGCTAAGCCTGAGACTGAGTCTTCACACATCTCAGGGGCCCTGTGATAGGAACTGGATCCCCGGAACAGTGGACTGTGGACAGGGCCTAGCCATTCGCTGTCCCATGCTTCCTTTGTAGCCGCCCTTCAGCCCTCCTGTTCCTCTTGCTCCTACCTCATTTCACCTTAAACCTTGGAAAGCTCACTTCCAAAGTTAATGGAGGGAAAATGGAAGGGAAACAGGAGAAAGATTGGAAAAAACTGAAAGGTGGGGTATAGGATCAGAACACTTAAAATTCTGGCAGTGCTTACCAAGATCAGAGTTTGCAGTGTTAATCCAACCTAGTCCTGTTACTTTCTGCTGCCACCAGCCTTGCTTTTAAAAATTAACTAAAAAAAAAAAAAAGTGCAATTATTCAGGTAATATTGTCTCCTTAAATAAAACAGTTTTCAGATAAATTACAAATAAAGCTAAAGGCCCCTTTGCCCAACTCCCAGTCCTTTCTGCCTGTCCCCTAGGTAGGAGTTTGGGATCATTTTCTGACACTATTACTTGTACTCATAGAAAATATGTCATGTTGTGTGTGGTTTTAGAACATAAATGATATCATGGTCATATTTTCCTACAGTTGTTTTTCACCCAACTATAGAACTTAAGTTTTTTTGTTTTTGTTTTTGTCTTTGTTTTTTAATATCAGGGGTTGGCAAATTACTTCTGTAAAAGGCCAGATAGTAAATACTTTAGACTTTGCAAACCCTACTGTCTCTGTCATAATTACTCAACTCTGCCTTTGTAGTATGAAAGCAGCCATAGACAATTTGGAAACAAAGGAGTGTGTCTGTGTGCCGATAAAACTTTATGAAAACCAGTGGGCGGCCAAATTTGGCCTGTGGGCCTTAGTTTACTGAACCCTGTTTCCTCACTCACCCTCCCCTCTGTGTGGCTGTGGGGATGTGCACGGGTGTGTGTGTGTGTGTGTGTGTGTGTGTGTGTGTGCGCGCAGATATTTTTTAATAGCTTTTATTGAGGTAGAATTCCTGTGCCTTACAGTTCACCCATTTAAAATGTGCATACAGTTCAGTGGCTTTTAGTATATTTATAGAGTTGGCCATCCATCACCACAAGTTATTTTAGAACATTTTCATTACCCCAAAAAAACCCTGTGCCTGTTTTATATTAATACATGTAGATTTACTCTGTTTTTTTTTAGCTGCTAAATATAATATTTATTAGTATGGGCATACTATTATTTGTTTAAATCATTCTTTTTTTTTTGAGAATGGCAGGAGATTTTATTTGTTGAGAACATAATATGTACATATATGTGGTTAAAAACCAAATGAAAGGTATTCTGGACTGTTCAACGAGGGGAAAATGCCTTTAGTGCCCGTCCCTTTCCCAGAGGCAGTCCCTCTTCCTGGTTTCTTTTGTGTCACTGCAGAGATAATCTGTGTACATAGGTGTACATAATTTTCCATCCTCCACCTTCTAGCCTGCTCCTTTTTTGTTAATAGTTTCTTCTGCATCTTGATTTTTTCACAGAGCAGTTTAGCTGGGTGAGAGTTTCTTGTCACTGTATTGACACGTTCAGATTCCGTTGCATGGATGTAATTTCTTTAAACTTATCCTGCATTGTTGGACATTTTTATTTTTCATTTTCCTGCTCCTAGAAACTGTATTACAGAGAATGTCTTTGACTCATTTTTTTTTAACATATGTGAGAGTTTATCTCTTGTATAATTCCTGAAGCACAACTGCCAAATCAAAGGCATGTTAAATATATATATGTGTATTATATATATATATATATTTTTTTTTTTTTTGGTAGCTTTTTGACAGATTGCCCTCCAAAGAAGGTTAGAATGGCTCTGTCCTTACTGATCAGGTGGGATAGTGCCTATTCTCTTGCCTTTGTCAGGAATCTTTCACCAGATGGTTTGCTCTTCCTCTGTGTGATTTGCAGGCCTTCTCTCTCTCTTTTTTTCCCCAGGAATGACATTTGAGTAACAAAACATTGCACGATCGGGCTGCTTTGCTGGTCCTTTTCTTACTGATTTGTAGGAATTGTTCACATATTCTTCTTTGTTAGGTCTACGTTGCACCAGTTTTCTCTCAGTTTTTAGCTTTTTCACATTTCTGAGGTCATGTTTGTATGCTGTTGGGCAGAAGCCTGCATTTTAACGTAGGTGAATTTTATTTTTCTTTCGCCTTACAGCTTGTGCTTTTTGTTTTTTAAAAAGATTTTTATTTATTTGAGAGAGAGAGAGCATGAGGGGGGAGGGTCAGAGGGAGAAGCAGACTCCCCACTGAGCCGGGAGCCCGATGCAGGACTCGATTCCGGGACTCCAGGATCATGACCTGAGCCGAAGGCAGCCGCTTAACCAACTGAGCCACCCAGGCGCCCTAGTTTGTGCTTTTTTATATCTTGTACATCATACCCAAAGGTCATTATTTGCCTGTATTTTCTTCTAAAAAGTTTTGTGGCGTTTAGGTCCTTAATCTATCCAGAATTGGTTTTGGTGTATAGTAGGAGATGGTCAGGTACAATTTCATATTTTTTCCCCATAAAGGTAGCCTAAATCTTTCCTTCTGTCCCCATTGCTGTGTCATTCCAACTCAAATATAAGGTCTTCATGTGTGTGTGGTTACACTGAGTCTAACATCTGTTGGTGGAACCCTGAGTCCCTGTAATACTGTTGTAATTAATATCGTTCTATGATAAGTTTTGATTTCCTGGAGGACGGGGGTCAGGGGAGGACATCACATCTCCTCTTCTTGTTCTTTAAGGATGTCTTGGCCAGTGTTACCCCTTTACATTTTCGTATAATATTTTAAAACAACAGAATTAAGTATTTTGGAGAAGCCGCTCATTGGTTCTTGAATGGCACCACCTTTTACTCAGTCCTGTTACCATAGCAGAATTAGGAGGTTGGGGTGTATTTTTTTCCTAGCAGGTTATGTATCACCTTGGAAACATTAACAGGAGAAGGAACTTCCTCCTCCCTTGTCCCCTTGGTCACACGTAATGCTTCAGGGTGCTCTGTGTTTGGTCTAGGCCTGCCTTCTGACTTTGAGCCCAGTGTGTCCAACTGCTGGTTAAGACTCTGTACCTTCATGGCTCACACCACAGCCTGTTAGATCAGCAATTTAGAAATCACCCTTGACTTTCTTCCCCCTAAATAGTTGCCCGATTTTCTCCTGTCTTTTCCTCAGAGGCACTGTCCTACCTCTAGGGAGGGGAACCTTGTCCCTCACGAGGACCATGATGCTCTTCTCCATCTCTGCTTCCAGTCTTGACCCCCTCCCAGCCAGTCTCCGAACAGAGTAATCAGTGATAAAAAATGAAAATTCAGTTATTTCCTTTTTAAAATCCATCCTTGAAAGTTTTCCACTTCTCTTAGGGTAATAGTCAAAGCCCTTCCTGTGACTTCCTTGGCCTGGCAATGTCTGGCCCCCCCGCAGTATCTTTCCAGCTTCATCTTTGAGCCGCAACCTCTCTGTGTTCATTCACGTTCACTGAGTTCAGAGGCTTTTGTGCAGGACCTGCTGAGTCCCCCAGTTCACCCCACTGCTGCCACCCTCCCCTCATTCACCCCCACTGCTCTGTCACACCCCTTTCTCAGGGAAATCTTTTGCCATCCAGACTTGCCATCCAGATATTATTCTCTGTACCTTTTTATTGCAGCTCCTATCACAAGCCTAATGATTTATTCTTGTAGTATTCTGTTTAACTCCTGTTCGTCTAGAGCTTCCTGAGGGCAGAACCCATACCTGGTTTGTTCTCAGTGAGAGAGCGAGGAGACAGATGTCAGCTATCTAAAAGAATTGCTTCTCTGCCTTAAGGAGACAAGACTAATAATTCTTTCTTGAAAAATAGTGATTGAACATGGGCCAGCCTCATGGTGGAATCAGGAGAGTGCTTGACTTCATCACAACTGCTCTTTTCCTGAAACCACAGTTTCCTTAAGAGCTTGAAAATTTCCAGTCAGATTGGCCCCCTCCTCCTAATAAGCTTCTTTTGTGATGG